CACACCTCAAACAACCAAGGGCAACAGAGGCGGCAAACGGCTGCTGCTGTACTGCTGCTGCTGCTGCTATTGCTGCTGCTGCTGCTGTACTGTTGCTGCTTTTGTTGCGCCTGCTGCTGCTGCCATGCTGTTGCCGTTGTTGCTGCTGCTGCGCTCCAATAGCACAGCAAAAGCAAAGAACAAAACAGAAAGGAAAATCCCACAGAAACGGTGTTGCTGCTGCTGCTGCTGTTGCTGCTGCTGCTGCAGTTCGTGTGGTGTACGTACACCCCATGTGGTGCGAGCTCAATGATAGTACGCTATAGCCAGTGCGCTTTCTGTCGTTGCTGCTGCTCCTGCTGCTGCTGGTCGGTGCTGCTGCTGCTGCTCCTCTTGTCGGTGCTGTTGCTGCTGCTGCTGCTGCTCTTGCAAGTGCTGCTGCTGCTGCTGCTGCGGGTAGAAAATACATTTAAACCACCCACGAAGCCGGGAAAACAAAAAGTCCGACTACCGCCGAACGACTCTCCTGTTGTTGGTGCTGTTGCTGCTGCAGCAGCAGCTTCTACTGCCGCTGCTGCTTTTGCTGCTGCTGCTGCTGCTTAGCAGCGTATGTGCGCTGCAAGGTTAAGAGTGTCTTCTGGAGACAGAGGATTATGACGGGTAAGAAAAGCCTCTGTCTCCGTCAAGGGCAGCAAATACAGCTGTTGCTGTTGCTGCTGCTGCTGTTGCTGCTGCTGCTGTTGCTGCTGCTGCTTGGTGTGCTGTTGCTGAATAAGAAAACGACCTGTTGCAGCTACTGCCAGTGTCTTTGCGTGCTGGGCAGCTGCCGAGGGGCCTTTAACGGCAGCAGCTCTAGCAGCAGCAGCAGCACTTGCTGCTGCATGCCTTGCTGCTGCTGTTGCTTCCCCTTGACCAATGCAGCAACAGCAACCTAAGAGAGGAGGAGACCCTAACACAAGGTCTCCTCTGCAGCGTGCTGCTTCTTGTGAGCCACAGGTCTCCACGCATGCAAACGGCCAACAGCCGCAAGGGTGCAGCAGCAACAGCTGGTGCTGCTGTTGCTGCTGCTGCTGCCCATTATCCTCCTCCTGCTGCTGCTGCTCCTGCTGCGGATGGCGCAGCAACAAACAGGACTCTTGCTGTAAAAGTGGAGCAGCCAGCCAAGCAGCAAACTCGGCGTTGCTGCTGCTCCTGCTGCTGTTGCTGTTGCTGCTGTCAGCAGCCACACTTGCTGCTGCAGCAGCAGCAGCAGCAGCAAGTTGTTGCTCTATCCCCAAGAAGCCAATGCTACCAAGAGCTGCCTGTACACCCGAGAGTCCCTCTTCGTTGCTGTCAGCAGCATTAGGATGTACGTACACCTCAAGGTCTCCATCGCTTACCATCAGTGTTGTTTCTACACCCACACCACGCTGCTGCTGCTGCTGTTGTTGTTGTTGCTGCAGCTGCTGTTCCTGTTGCTGTTGCTGGGACTGCAAAGATGCCCTAGCTGCTGCTGCTGCTGCAGCTGGAGCAGCAGCAACGAGCCCACACTGTTCTGCTTCATGTTGGGCGACGAGTTGCTGCTGTGTTCCCGTTGCTGCAGGGTCAATCCTAGCAGCAACCTCTGCTGCTGCTGCAGCAGCAACAGCAGCAGAAGCAGCATCTGGTAGGGTTTCAATGGAGCTGGTGATACTGCAGCTTCTGCTGCAGCTGCTGCTTCTGCTGCTGTTGCTGCTGGCTGCTGTAGCGAGTATCCCGTCTGCTGCTGTCCCAACGCCAGCAGCAGCACCACTAACAGCACCAGCAGCCGCTGCTGCCGCTGCTGCAGTCTCTGCCTCAATAAGAGACGGAGGTGGAGGAGCAACAGCAGCAGCAAGCTCAAAGGAAGCAGCAGGAGAGGAGTTGCCCGATATAACTTCCTCTATACCTAAGCTTACTCTCCTTGGCAGCAAACCCTCGCTGCAGCAGTAAGGTGTCTCCTCTGCATGCAATACACATAATTACATACTCCTGCAGATGCTGTTGCTGCTGTTGTTGCTGCTGCTATTCATACTAATGATGCTACAGCTTGTACTGCTCTGCTCTCACTGCTAGTGCTGTTGCTGCTGCCAGTTCTGCTACACTAGAGACTAGTGCTACTGTTGCTGCTGCGGATAACGGAGGACAGAAACAGCAGCTTTAGACTCTAGTGTAGCAGAAGCAACAACAGCAGCAGCAACAGCAGCAGCAGAAGCAAATGCAACTAAAACATAGTTAGCATAACAACTAAAAGACAAAATAAACGAAAGAAAACAAAAAAAAGACATCAAGGGCAGCAAAACCCACACCACAGCAGCATCTGCGTTGCAGCAGCAACAGTGGCAGCAGCTGCTGCCGCAACAACAGCAACTGCAGCAGCAGCAGACAAGGCAAAACCGTCGCTCCATCATGCTTCACATAATTAGCAGCAAAACAGCAGCAGCAACAAAGGACACGACCGATGTCCACACCCTCATCGACAGGGGCAGCAGGAGCAGCACGGCAGCAGCAGCACAATCAGCAGCAGCACCATCATCATCATCATCAGCAGCAGCAGGTACCTGAAAGGGGAAGATTCCATAGGTAATTTCCTCTTTCAAGACAGCCGCTATTAGCGGCTTCAAGAGAGAATGGCATTGCCGGTCCCTGTGGGGGCTGGATCCCCAAACCCTAAACCCTAAACCCTAAACCCCAAACACTAAACCCTAATTTATGCCCCCAAGGCAGCAGGCTTGTGTGAATAACCCTTAGTAAAGGGTTAGGGGGAAACAGAGGCTTAAGACAAGCAAAAAGAAAAAGAGAATAGCATCGACCTGCTGATGCTGATGCTGCTGCTGCTGCTTCCTGCTGCCGCTTGCAGGACCAGCGCTACATTGGTGCTGCAGCAGGGTTTATGACGCCAGCAGCAAAACCCTAAAAAGTGTAACAGAAGGGAAAACAACGAAAGAAGAAGAAAAAACAGACAGACGAAACAAAAAGAACTCCAGAGGGATTCTCTGCTGCAGCAGCAGCTGCTGCTGCTGCAGTTGCACCAACTGCTGCTGCTGCTGCTGCTACTGCTACTGCTGTGAGTAGACCATTGATTCACAGCGCTCTCTTGTGGGTTACAGCAGCAAATGGACTATTTTCGTGTCTCTATGGTGTATAAACAACGAACCCCAAATAAATAATTAGTTATTAATAAATAATAAAACAAATAAAAGAGAAAATGCAGCAAAAGAGCAGCAAAACGACAGCAGCAAACCCTCCTCCCTCCCGCTCCAGGGGCGGATTCACCCCAATGGTGTAAAGGTGAAGAAGGCGCTTTTTTCTTCTTTTCCCCCAAATTCTAATGAATTTGAACACAAATAAACACTAAACATAAACATAAATTCAACATTACACCCCTACAAGACAAAGAATAGCACAAGAAACCCCATAGGAGACCGTCTCGGGGTTTCGTACGGTTTAGGATTTAGGGTTGAGGGTATAGGGTTTTCAGGTATAATAAACCCTCGGGTTGTCACTGTCTTAGGGGGGGAGACAACAAACGATACGTCAAATTTGTTTATTTTTACGTTTATTTTTATATTTTTGTCTATTTATTTATTTATATTTACATTTTGGTGATGATTGATTCTTCTTTGCCTCCGGTGCATGTGCAGCTCATAGAAAAGGGTCCACTGGACACCCCACCAGATAGACGAAACAATCCAGATATTTTTTGTTAATTTACTCATTTTTATTTATTTATTTGCCTTTTGAATTAGGCTGTTTACTTTCTTATTCATTTATTTAGAAATAAAGGGCAAACACATACCTGCCGCCCATTAACCCCAAATCTAATACTAATATTACTAATAAAGCAGCAAAACACACCCCTCTTATCTCCTACTGAGGCTTAAGGCTTGAAAATTGGGGCTTAGGATTTAGGGCTTAGAGTCTAGTGTTTAGGGTTTAGTGTCTACGGCTTAGGGTCTAGGGCTTCGATCCTAAGATTCAAACACTCAAGAAACGCCAGACCCATAAGGTTTCCAGATTAGGGTTTCCGGTTTACGATTCAAACCCTCGAAGAACCTCAGACTCGCTGCTGCTGCTATCGCTGCACGCAGCAGCAGCGGCAGCACGTGGTTCTGTTACAGATACTGCTTCAGCCATATATAAATAGCCCCATCTGCAGCAGCTGCTGCAACAGCAGCAGCAACAACAGCTGGAGAACTGCAGCAACTGCTGCTGTTGCTTCCGCTGAGGCACTAAAGCATCTTTTGCTGCTGCTGTCTGCATGCACTACTACTACCTAAAATTAGGCAGCAGTCGACCCCTGTGGGGTGGGGTGCGTGCAGCAGCAGCAACTACTGCAGCAACAGCTGCAAGAGCAGCAACAGCAACAGAAGCGCTGTTGTCTGTTTCCCCATATGGCGGCAAAACTGCTGCTGCAATTCGCCCCTCTAGCGCCGCTTTTGCTGGTGCTTCTACTGCTGCTCTTACTACTGGAAGTGTCGCTGCTGCTGCTGCTGCTGCTGCAGCACATAATTCCTTCTCATTGCCTCAGGGGGCAACAATTCTCTCCTTGGCGAAAACAAGCAAAAGAGAGCAGCAGCTTCCTCCGTGTTGCTGCTGTCTCCCAGCTGGAGCAGCAGCTTCGGCTTCTGTTTCTGTTGGTGCTGCTGTTGCTGTTGCGGTTGCTGTTGCTTCTGCTGCTGCTGCTGCTGCTGCTCCACTTCACTATCGTTATTCGAGGAGTTTCGTGAGCTGCCAGAAACGCTAAGAGCGCCATGGCGGTTTGGCCGCTGCAGCCAATGATGTAACCACTGGTCTGCTGCCGCACCTGCTGCTGTTGCTGCAGCATGTGCTGCTGCAGGTGCTACTGCAGCTGCAAGGGCTGGTAGAGGTGGTACTGCCCGTGTTGCTGCAGGTGCTGCTGCAGGTGCTGCTGCTGGTTCTGCTGCTGCTGCATGGGCTGGTAGAGGTGGTATTGCTGGTGCTGCTGCAAGTGCTGCTGCATGTGCTGCTGCATGTGCTGCTGCTGCTACACAGGCTAGTAGAGGTGGTACTGCTGGTGCTGCTGCAGTTGCTGCTGCTGCAGATGCTGCTGCCGCAGGTGCTGCTGGTGAGGCTGCTGGTGGTGGTGCTGCTTCAGGTGTTACTGCTGCAGGTATTACTGCAGGTGCTGCTCCAGATGCTGCTGCAGGTGGTGCTGCAGGTGGTACTGCAGGTGGTTCTGCAGGTGGTTCTGCAGGTGCTGCTGCAGGTGCTGCTCCTTCTGGTGCTTCTATATGTGCAGCAGCAGCTGCTGCTGCTTTTGTTGTTGTTGCTGCCGCTTCTGTTCCTGGTGCTTCTTCTGTTACTTTTGCATCTTGTGGTGCTGCCGCTTCTTCTGCATCCGCTGCTGCTGCTGTTTGTTTTGCTGCTGCTGCTGGTCCCGTTACTACAGATTCTGCTGCTGCTAGTTCGGTTGGTATTGCTAATTCTGATAGATCTGCTGCTGCTGCTGTTGCTGCTGCTGTTGCTGCTGTTGCTGCTGCTGTTGATAATTCTGCAGCTGATGATAATTCTGCTGCTGCTGTTAATTCTGTTGTTGCTGCTGCTAATTCCGTTGCTGCTGTTAACTCAGCTACTGCCCCTGGTTCTGCTGCTGCCGTTGATTCTGCAGCAGCTTGCTCTGCCGCTGCTCCTGCCATTTCTGCTGCTGCGGTTGCCTCCGCCTCTACTGCTGTTACGGAATTTGTTGCTGCTGCTGTTGCTAATTCTAATGCTGCGGATTCTTTTGTGACTGGTTCTGCTGCTGCTGGTTCTGCTGGTGTTGGTTCTGATGGTTCTGCTGCAGTTGCTGAATCAGCTGCTGGTGATCCTGCTGCTGTTGCTGAATCAGCTGCTGCTGAATCCGCTGCTTCTGAATCTGCTGCTGCTAAATCTGCTGCTGTTGCTGAATCTCCTGTTGCCGATTCTGTTGCAGCTGCTTCTGCTGCTGTCTCTGAATCGGCTGCTGCTGCTGCACTGGAGGCTTCAGCAGCAGGTAAATTGTTTCGGGGCAGGTTGCCACACGGCAAGACAGCAGCAGTAGCAGTAGCAGCAGCAGCTGCTGCTTCTGTTGTTGATGCTGCTGCTTCTCGTGGGGAACTGCCGGGGCAGCAAGCATCAGGTGCATGCACACCTCCAGGAGCTACTGGAGGCTGTTGTGCTTCTGTATCTTCCGCTGCTGCTGGTGCTGCTGCTGCTGGTGCTGGTGCTACTGCTGCTGCTTTTATTGCTCGTGCTGCTGCTGCTGCTGCAAGTGGGTTGCATGCATAGCCAGGATAGCCACTAGGCGAGCGTGCCTCAAGATATCCCGAGAGAGCGGCGGCAGCAGCAGCAGCAGGCACTGCAGCTGCTGCAGTTGCTGCTGCGTTGTGTGGTGCATATGTTGCTGCACATGTTCCTGCATGTGTTGCTGCACTTGCTGCTGCTGGCTCTGCTGCAGTTGGTGCTGCAGGTGCTGCTGCTGCGCCACAGCCTACAACCAGTGGGAGCTGCTGAGGGAGTTGCTGCTGCTCCGGGTAGGGAGGATTAACGCTGCGGCTTGTGCCCCTATTAGGCGCGCTGCTTCTGCTGCTGGCCAAACTGTAACTCCTGCTGCTGCTGCTGCTGTTCTTGCTGTCGCTGCTGTGGGGAGACGCGTCACCCCTGCTGCAGCACACACTTCTTTCAGAAGCATGCCTGCTGCTGTTTCTGCTGCTGTTGCGGCTGTTGCTGCCGCTAGTCAAAATGAAGTACTGTGTCTGGCACTGCTGCTGCTGTTGCTGCTGCTGTTGCTGCTGCTGTTGCTGCTGCTGTTGCTGCTGCTGTTGCTGGTGCAGCAACTGTTGCAAGCCGTTCGCACCCTGCCACGGACCTCCTGGAGAACCTATGCTACTGTTGCTGCTGCTATTGTTCTCCTGCATTGTATGCTGGTGCTGCTGCTGCTGCTGAGCTTTGCTGCTATCACCAGCTGCAGCAGGTGTGCAGGTTTCTACTGCTGCAACAGACACCCCCAAAGCTGCTAATCGCAGCTGCAGCAGCTGAATGGTGCGCTGCTGCTTCTCCATCGTCTCTTGCTGCTGCAGCAGCAGCTGCTGCTGCCGCTGCAGTACCTCTCGCTGCTTTTCGCACGCCGAGCAGCGGCTCCGCTCTCCCTGCTGCTCAGTGATGCCCCTGAAGCGCCTGATGTTGTTGTTCTTGCTGGTGCTGCTTTTGCTGCTGCTGCTGCTGTTGCTGCTCTTGTTGCTGGTGTATGTGCAATGGCTGGCTCCTCTGCTGCTGCTGCTGCTGCCGATACCTTCGTCTCTGCAAACAGAACGCAGTGAATCCTGCAGATGGTGCTGCTGCATATGCTGCTGCTGCTGTCGCTGCTGTTCTTGCTGCGTTGCAGCCTCTTCCATTTGTTGCTGCTGCTGTTGCTGTTCTGCTGCTGCATCCGTTGGCTTGTCGTGCTGCTGCTGCTGCAGCACATTGTCTTTTGTTTCCTCATCACTTGTCCACAAGAGACTGTCTCCGCAGCAGCAAGAGTTGCTGCTACTGCAGCAGCAACTGCTGCTGCTGCTATAGGGGGCTGTCTCGTCGCATGTGCTGCGGCTGCTGCCACGCAACCCAAAGGTGCAAAAGCTTCTGCTGCTGCTGCTGCTGAAATTGCTGCAGCTTTTCTTCAGCGCAGCAGATTCCTGCACCAGCAGTTCCTCTTGCAGCCCCGAACTGATTTCACCTGCGTTGCTGTTGCTGCTGCTGCTGTTGCTGTTACTGCTGCTGCTGCTGTTGCTGTTACTGCTGCTGCTGCTGTTTGTGCTGCTGTGGTTGTTGTTGCTGCTGCTGCTGTCGCCATGGTCTCCTTTTGCAGCCGGCTCCAATTGGCCAAGAGAGCAATCACCTGCTGCTGTGGTTGTTGTTGCTGCTGCTGCTGTTGCCGCTGCTGCTGTTGCTGCTGCTGCTGTTGCTGCTGCTGTTGCTGCTGCTGTTGCTGCTGCTGTTGCTGCTGCTGTTGCTGCTGACGGTGTTGCTTTTGCTGCTGCTGCTTTTTCTGCTGCTGCCTTTGCTGCTGCTGTTTTTGCTGCTGCTGTTTTTGCTGCTGTTGCTTTTACGGCTGCTGTTGTGGCTGCTAGTGGTCTAGCTGCTGCAGCCTTCGTCGATGCTGCTCTCGCTGCTGTTGCTCTGGTTGCTGCTGTTTCTGGTGCTGCTGCCTTTGCTGCTGTTGCTGTTGCTGCTGCTGTTGTTGTTGCTTCTGTTGTTGTTGCTTCTGACCTTGTTGTTGCTGCTTTTGCTGCTGCTGCCTTTGTTGTTGCTGCTCTCGCTGTTGCTACTGCTGTTTTTTCGGTGGCTGCTTTTGCTGCTGGAGCCTTTGGTGGTGCTGCTCTTGCCACTGCTGCTCTAGATGCAGCTGCTTTTGCTGCTACTGCACTTGCTGCTGTTGCTGTTCTTGCAGGTGCTCTTGCGGGTGCTGCCTTTGTTGCTCTTGCATTTGCTGCTGCTGGTTTGGAAGGCTCTGCTGCTGCTGCTGCTGGCTGTCCCGCCGATGTGGCTGTTGGTGCTTTCGGTTCTCCGTCAATTGCTGCTGCTGTTTCCGTTGTTGCTGCGGCTGTCCGTGCTGCTGCTGTTCTGGTTGCTGCTGTAATTTTTGCTGCTGCTCTTTTCCCTGCTGCTGTTTGTGCTGTTGACGTGCTAGTGACTTGCTGTCCCTTACATCTGTCTGCTGCAGTTCCACGTGCTGCTGCTGCTGCTGAGTTTGCTGAAGCTGCTGCTGCTGCTGCTACTACTGATGCTGGAGCCTCTTGAGAGACGCGCACAAAGACAGGCTTGCCTTGGAAGGTGCAGCAGCTGATGCTGCTTCGGCGCTGCTGCTGCAACAGCTGCCGCTGCTGCCGCTGCTGCAGCTGCTGCAGTTGCCCCTGCTGCTCTCGTGTGAACTGCAGGCCCCCCCTATGGAACATGGGTTCCCCTACTGGCCTCTTTGTTTGCAACCCTGCTGCCGTTGCTGCAGCAGTAGCTGCTGCTGCTGGTGGTGCAGCTGAGCGGGCAGCAGCATGAGCACGGGGGTCGAAACATCGTCGAGCACCGGCAGCAGCAGCAGGAATGCTCTCTAAAGTCGCAACAGCAACAGTGTGTCTCTGCCACTTTCCACTGCCGCTGCTGCAATCTCTGCTGTAGCTGCCAGTGCAGCAACCGCCACTGCCGTTGCTGCTGCTGCTGCACCAATCGCTGCTGTTGAAGGTTTCTACAGTAGAATCCCCTCTGGGTTGCTGCTGCAACCACAGGTGGGCAGTGTGAGAGGGTAGACAGGCATGCTGCGTCTGCGTCTGTGGCTGCTGCTGCTGCTGTTGCTGTTGTTGCTGCTGCTGTTCCTGGTGCTGCAGTTGCAGACGCTGCAGCATCAGCTGCTGCTGTTGCTGATACTCTTGAACAGAGACAGGCCGAAGTGTTCTGGAATCCATCAAGGCTGTTCTCTCTGCAGCAGCCGTTGCTGCTGCTGATACTGATGCTGCTGTATTGCTGCTGCTGCTGTTGTTGTTGCTGCTGCCGCTGCCAGGATCAATTAACTGTAGGGGGGCCTCAATGAAGGAAGTTGTCTAAAGCAAAAGAGAAGGGAAAAAGCTGCAGCAGCATTCAATGCGTCCACAAGCCCGTTGCAGCGGCATCAACAACGGCAACTGCTGCTCCTGCTGCTGCTACTGAAAGGATGTTACTCTGCTGTCGTAGCTGCTGCTCCACCGCTCTATCAGCAACACACAAGCGTGTAATAAAGAGTGCAGCTGCAGCCGCTGCTGCTGCCGCAGTAGCAGCGGCGGCAGCAGCGGCAACAGCGGCAGCAGCAAACCTGGGAGCCCCTAACCCCGCAGCAACCGGCAGCGAAAGAGAAGCAACAAGTAAATTATAAATTAATGTTTAAACAACGAACAAAAAGACAGAAGAAGACAGGAAGGCTGCTGTTGTTGCTGCTGCTGCTGCAAGAGCTGCAGTAGGGCTAGCGGTGCTGCTCTCGAGTCTAGCAGCGACGGCAGTAGCAGCAGCAGCTGCTGCTGCTGTCACGAGCGCCACTGCTGCTTCTTAATGAGTCGATTTTGTAACTGTTTAATTTGTTTAATTAAGTTTAGCTGCATTAGCATCTACTGCTGGTGCTGCTGCTACTACCACTACGGGCTCCCGCTCCATCAACGACGGCTAGCGGCTTGAACACTTAAACCTAAACCCTACAATAAACCCTTAACCAAAACCCTAAACTATAAATCCTAGGCCTAGAACCCTACTTGCCAGTCTAGTATCGATTGACAGGATAAACGCTAAACCCTCGCTGTAGTATTAATATCTAACGGCGTGCCGCTGACGACTCGCAAAGCCGTAAACCTTTAACCCTAAACTCTAAACCCTAAACCCTAAACCCTAAACAATAGGGGTTGAATCCTACGCCTAATCTTTTAGCCCTCGAGCTGCAGGGGTAAGCGCAATCTCCCTTCGTAGCAGATGACCAGTGGTTAACCACTCCTCCAGCCCCTAGGGTTCATTGTTTTAGGGTTTATGGTTTAGGGGTCTGCAGCGAAGTCTCTGAGCTGCTGCAGCAGACCTGCTGCACAAACAGCAGCAAGGTCCTTACTCAAATTCTCCCCAACAGACTGTTACCGCTACTACTACTACTCCTGCCGCTGCTGCTGTTGCTGCTGTTGCTGCTGTTGCTGCTGTTGCTGCTGCTGCAGATCTGCTCGGTAGACAGCAGCAACTCCTTGCCTCTCTGCTACCGCTACTACTACTACTCCTAGTACAATAACTACTACTACTTCTGCTGTGGTTGCTGTTACTAGTGCTGCTGTTGTGTTGCTGCTGCTGCTTCGTCTCGTGGTGTTTCTGTTGCTGCTGCTGTTAAATGCATGAGGAATTTTTATTATTATTGTTAGTGTTTCTTTATTATTATTATTACTCTATATTTACATGTATTAAGTGCCGCCACTTTTTTGCTATTAAGACAGCAATTGTCTCCTTCTCAGCAGCAGCAAAAACAGCAGCAGCAGCAGCAGCAGCAAATTTTTAATCTCCTCGACAGCTAAAGTTAAGTCGCAACTGCTGCAGCTGCGAATACACCTCAAGTAGCCGCTTCTGCCAATACCCCACACGTGCCTCCTTTTGCTGCAGCACAAATTTAAGTGTCGCTTCTACTCGCAGCAAATGAGGTAAGCAACGCACAAAGGCAATCAACTCCTGCTCCTGCTGCTGCTGCTGCTGCTGCGCTTGCTGCGGCTGATGAGTTGGATGTAACAGCAACGGATGAGGAGGCGATGCAGCATCGTCTACAGCGCTACTGCTGCTGCTGCTACAAGGGTCATGCTTAGCAGCACCGGCAGCAGCGCCACCTGCAGCAAGCTTTGTTGCTGCTGATCTCGACGCAGGCAGCACAGGTGTGTAGTAGAGAAGTTTGGGAACACCTGGACCAGCAGCAGCAGCAGCAGCAGCAGGTAAGCAGCAGTAGCATCAGCGCACAACAGCGGCTTGTCATGATCTCCCTGTCCTTTTGCATGCAACAGCAGCAGTGGTAACAGCAGCGGCAGCAACAGCAGCAACACCAACGACATCAGCAGCAACAGTAAAAGGAGCAACAGAGCAGCAGCAGCAGCAACAACAGCAGCAGTTAGGTGTTTATGCGGGGTACCATGAAGGGCAAGTCGTGCCGACCCTGAGAGAATTAAAACGTCTCCAGATCGCAACACCACTGGAATTGGAGTCTCCCTGCAGCAGCAGTAGCGGCAGGAATGCAATGGCAGCAGCAATGCAACGGCAGCAGTACTGGCAGCAACCGCACGAGCAAAAAGCAGCATCACTAGCAGTGCCAGCAGACGCAGCAGTAATAGCAGATCCAGCGGGTGCAGGAATACGGATAGTACCGCTCTGCAGCAGCTGAATCAGCAGCAGCAGCAAAAGCAACAGCAGCAGGAAAGTCTGTTTCTTACTGGCGAGTATTGCCCCCAAGAAGAAAGAGACAAGGAAGGCCTAAGCTGCACGTACATCCGAATGCAGAAGCGACACACAGCAACAGCATCAGTCGTGGTGCTGCTACTGCTGCAGCACTAGCAGCAACGGAACAGCAAACGAAAAGCAGCAGCAGCGGCAGACAACTTAAAATGAACACTTCACCCGATGCAGCAGCTGCTGCTGCTGCTTCAAGTGGCCGCAGCACGACAAGCAGCAGCAACAGCAGCAACGGTCGGAGTGCTAGAAAGGAGCAACCACTGTAACAGCGGCAGCTGCAGCAAACCAGCATCAACAGCAAGCCAGCAACAGCACCAGCACACCACCAGCAACAGCAGCATCAGGATCTGCAGCTAACGAGCATCATCGCCAGCAACCAAGCAGCAAAAGCAACAAAAGCAACAGCAGCAACAGTTGCAGCAGCAACAACAGCAACAGCAGCAGCAGCAGACCTGATGGATATAAGAGGAATGATGGTATCTGTCTCTGCATCATCTTTATGTCCCCTTAATCTGTCTCCTTGTCTATATACATTTACTAAAGCCATCTGCATGCAGCAGCAGCAGCAGCAGCAGCAGCAAACCATACAATTCCTCCTGCTGTTGCTGTTGCTGCTGCTGCTACTGCTGTTGCTCGAAAAGGTGATTAGCGCTGTTGTGCGGCTTCTGCTTCTGCTGCTGCTACTTGTAAATTGTTGCTGTTGTTGCTGTTGCCGTTGCTCCTGCTGCCGTTATTACTACTCTTGCTGCTAAATCTGCTGCTGCTATTGTGTTGTTGTTGCTGCTGATGCCATTAATGTTGTCGCTACTGCTGCTACTACTACTACTATTGTTATTGCTGCTGCTGCTCTTATTACCATTGTTGGTGTTGCTGCGGCTGCATCCACAGCAGCAACTGTGAGGTCACCTTACCTGAAGCTTCGCAGCTAATTCTGCTGGTGCTGCTGCGGCTGGGGCTGCTGCAGCGCGTTGCTGCTGCTGCTGCAGGGCTGCTGTCTGCAGAGCCCACCCAGCAATGCGGTGCAGCACAGGGGGCAGAGGCGGGCCGCTGCTGCTGCTGCTGCTGCTGGTGTTGCTGCTGCTGGCGTTGCTGCCTTTGTTGTTGTTGTTGCTGCTGCTGTTGCTGCTGCTGGTACGAGAGGTGCTGCTTCTACTGTTGGTTTCCTCCAAATCCTCCCGCCGCCGCTCTTGCTGCTGCTGCTGCTGGTTATAATATGTGCGGCTGCCCCAGTTATAGACTTGCGAGCCAATAGAAGACCAGCGCAAACCTACGGGGGGAGGCAGCAGCACCAGCAGCAGCTGTTGCAGTGCTGCTGCTTCATCCGCAGCAGACTCAGGGACTTGCTGCTGGCCCGACACATGCGAGCTGCTGCTGTTACTAGGCCTCGGAAGCAGCAGCGCCGTCGTATTAGAGTTTATATGCTGCTGCAGCAAAGGCAAGCGGCTGCATTTATGGGGAATAACCGCAGCGGGAGCCGATGCTGCTGCTGCTGCTGGTGATACTGCTGCTGGTGCTGTTACTGCTTCTCCTGTTGCTGTCGCTGCTTCTGCTGACACTGCAGCAGCAGAGGCATTTCCTTCCGCTGTGGAGTCCTGAGTCTTGGCGCTACCCAACTGTTGCTGCTGCTCTTGCTGCTGCTCTTCCTGCTGCTGCTGCAGTTGTTGGCAGAGGTTACAGACAGCAGGGGGCCGCAGCAAAGAAGAGAATGCTTCATCAGTCAGCAACAGCTGCTGCTGCAGCGACAAAACCCCTGGCAGCAAAAAGGCCCCAGGGCAATGTGGGAAAGCATACACAGGAGGAGTTGCAGCAGCAGCAGCTGCTGCTGCTGCTGCTTCTGCTGCTCCTGCTTGTGCTGATGCTGAGGGAGACAACGCACCGCCTCCGTCTTGAGCAGCAGCAGCAACAATTGCTTCTGCTGCTGCTCTAGCTGCTGCTACCGCTGTCTCAGGTAAGCCTGAGGAGACTGTGTTGCTGTTGCTGGTGTTGCTGCTGCTCGCTGTTGTTCTTGCCAGTCCCTTCTTGTGCCGGCGTGCAGCAGCAGCGGTAGCAGCAGCAGCTGCTGCTGCTAGAGGCAGCTCATCGAATTGCATGCACTGCCCACGGAGGCCACTCAGCCCAACGATCCTTCCATCTACTTGCTGCTGCTGTTCTTGCTGCTGCTGATGGTGATGATCTTGCTGCTGCTGCTGCTGCTTAAGGATCATTTGTGCGAGGTCCATTTCCCTTAATTCAACTTCTGCTGCTTTAAATTGATCTACTAGAGGGTACGAAGACGAAGGGGGCCCCCCAAGGGGCCCCCCGGGAACTGATGAAATCATTGCTGCGGCATGCAGCAAATCATTGCTGCTGCATGCAGCACGCAGGATCTAATCTAAGACCAAAACCCTAAGACCTAAAGCCTAAAGCCTAAACCCTAAACCCTTAAGCCTCAAACCTTCACGCTGAACTCTAAACGGGAAATTCTCAGGCAGAAGTCATGGACCCTAAACCCTAAACCCTCATCGCCGCGAGCCCTAAACCCCAAACCCTAAATCCTGGGATTTTGATATTAATTTTAATCTCCCTCTTCCCGAATTGCCGCCAAGTCCTCATAACCGCTGCTATGTGCCCTGGGGGGCCCCATGTCAAGGGGGGCCCCCATTTGAAGGGGGCCCCCTATCGATGGGGGCCCCCTGTCTTTCTTCCCTTGGGGGCCCCCTTGTATGACGAGAATAAAACGGGCTAAATCATCCTATAATGTTTCATTTTTTTATTGTTTCTCTATTCATTTGTGTCATTGCTGCGTGCTGCTGCTGATGACGATACTGAACTCCAGCAGCAGCAGCTGCTGCTGCTGCTGAACTGCTGCAGCTGCTACTACGCTGCAGCGGCTGCTGTCCCTGACTATTTGATTCCTTATAGAAAAGAAACTATTTGCTTTAAAGTATTTAAGGATATTTTAATTATTTCCTTGTAATTCTCTATTTCTATAGGGGAAGAGGGGGGAAAAAGGCGCAGTAAGTTTGCTGCTGCTTCAGCTGGTGTGGAGCCATATAGAGAACCTGTATAAAGAGATTGGGGCTGCTGCCGCCGCTCCTGCTGCTGCCGCTGCTGCTGCCGCCGCAGCTACTGCTACCGCTGCTGCTGCCGCCGCCGTCTCTGCTCCTGCTGCTGCTCGCGTTGCTGCTGCTGCTGCATTAGCAACAGCAAGCGGGTCACCTAGCAGCAGCAGCGGCAACTGCTTGCATGCAGAGGGACAAAGGAGGGTGAGCATACACTTTAAGGGGGGAAAGAGGAGAAAAAAGAAAGAAACAACAAATAAATAAACGCAAGAATTCTATAAAATGTAGTAAATACACTAAATCTATTTGTATAAATATAATCATTAAATAAAAAATTAAATAAATGCATAAATAACTAACTAAATAAATAAAATAAAGAAAGAAAGAAAACGAAATGCTACAAAGGAATCGTAAAGTCTTCGGAGGCTGTTAGCTGCAAATCCCCTTAGTTACTTTACGCAACGCATATTACAAATATGCAGCAGCAGCAGCAGCAACTGCAGCAGAACCTGCAGCAGGAAGAACTGCAAGAGCAGCAACTGCAACAGCAGCGGAAGCATCTGAAACAAACTTGGGCCCCGTGCCTCTCTTCCCTGCATGTGTCTGGCTGCTGCCCACCCCCTAAGGTTAGGGTTTAGGGTTTGGGGATTAGGTTATACGGTCTAGCAGCAGAATAGTAGTCTATTACTCGCAGCAGCAGTAGCAGAGCCGGAAAATGAGGCCATCGGTCCGGCAGCAGCAGCAGCAACAACAAAGCTGCAGGCACGCCCCCCGTGTGTCCTATAGAGACACCGTTAACCGCGGCAGCAGCAGCAACCCCAGCAGCAGCGACCACAACAACAACAACAACAGCAACAACAACAACCCGAGCAGCAGCAGCAGTAGCAATGACGACAGCATCCCCAGCAGCAGCCCCAGCAGCAGGAGCAACATGGGTGAGATACTGGTGTTGCACAAGTTCTCAAGAGGAGAGCTGCGGAGACACGAGACGCTGCAAGGTGTTGTGCTGCAGCAGCTATCTTCGGGTGTACAGGCAGCCGCTGCTGCCTTTGTGCTGCCATGCCCATATAGGCTGCGTCGGCAGCTGCAGCACGTTGCTGCAGCCCTGCAACTGCAGCTGCAGCTGCAGGAGCAGCAGGAGAAGCAGGAGGAGGAGGCGCAGGATATGGAGCAAAGTGAAACTGATAGCGTGATATACAATGCAGTAGCAACAACAGAGGCAACAGCAGCAACAGCGGCAACAGCAGCAGCAGATGCAACAGTGACAGGAGAAGATGCTACAGCAGGAGATGAGCCGGACACATCCAGTGAGGGGGACCCAGCCGCAAGCTGCAACCCACCTACTTCTGCTGCTGCTGCTCTGAGCAGCAGCAGCGCATCCACAAAATGTATCTGCCTTTTCGGAGCTCGCAGCAACAGCAGCAGCAGCAGCAGCAGGGGAACAACCGAAGAGTGCAAGTGCTGCTGCAGTGACTGCAGCAGCAACAACGAGAGTCCATCTGTAGCAGCATCAGCTGGATGCAGTAGCAGCAGCAGCAGCTGCTGCTGCTGCAGCAGCTGTAGCAACTGCTGCAGTGTTGAGCTGCGCTACAGTGAAGGCCCCAGGATAAGCGACTTGTGCTGCATTCAGCGGCATCCGCACCCGCATCTGCAGCAGCTGCGGAAGCAGCAGCGGCTGCTGCTGGTTACTTCTGAAGGGGGATTGGTTTCCGTGACAAGACACACCAAAAGAAACATCAGCAGCAACAGCAGCAACAGCAGCAACAGCACCAGCAGCAGTAGCAACGTGGTGCAGGTGAAGGGTGTACGAGTTGGCTGCAGCGGCTGCGCATACACCGCAGCAGCAGGAGATTCATACGCCCTTATTGCTACTTCTTGTGGTATCTTTGGTTGGGGGATATGCAGCAAAGGGGAGCTTCTGCAGCAGCAGATGCTGCTGCAGCAGCCGCACCAGCAGATGCAACAGCAGCAGAAGGGTGTAAAGTGGTGTTTAGTACCTCGTTTCCTGGTGCCTGTGCGTCTCCGCCGCAGTGTTGCTGCTATAAGCTGCAGCACGCAGCACGTTGCAGCCGCAGCAGCAGACGGTAGCTGCTTTACATGGGGCAGCAACTTATGTGGGGAGCTAGGTATCGGCAACACCAGCGGTTTGTTGCTGCAGCCGCAGCAGCTGCTGCTGCAGCAACCTGTTATCCAAGTTGCTGCAGGAGAGGGATTCACAGTTGTTCTTACCGCGCTTCCTTCGGCTGCTGATGCTGCAAGTGCTGACCCTTCTGGTGTTGCTGCCCCTGCTGCTGATGCTACAGTAGCAACAGCAGCCGCAGTAGGTTCTGTCTGGGCCTGGGGCCTGAACTGCTACGGCCAGTTGGGGCTTGGTGACACAATGCCCCGCTATTCGCCACAGCAGATCTTGCATGCATCCTACAGCAGCAGCAGCGGCAGCAGTAGCAGCGACAGCAGCAACGACAGCAGCGACAGCAGCAACGACAGCAACGACAGCAGCAGCAGCAGCAGCTGTTTGAGCATAAAAGCAACACAATCACTTCCTCCAGTTCTGCAGGTTGCTGCAGGAGATGGTTTTGCTGCGCTTCTAACACACGAGGGCGTGCTTTTACTGCAGGGACGCCCTCCCTCGAGGTGTACAGACACTACACTGCAGCAAGTCTGCAGCAGAAGCAGCAGCAACAGCAGCACCAATTACAGCATCGGCTGCTGCTGCTGTCAGAACGGCAGTAGCAGTTGCACTGGGCTTCTCGCTGCTTCCAGCAACATGACTGTCCCCAGTAAGCTGCCGCTGTTGCTGCTGCTGTTGCTGTTGCTGCTGTTGTTGCTGTTGCTGCTGCTGCTGCCTTTGTTGCTGCCTTTGTTGCTGCTGCTGTTGCAGCTGCTCTGGTTTGCGTTTTTAAATAAGCTGCTGCGTTTCCAGTGGTGGTGATATTGTTGTTGTTGCGGTTGCTCTGCTGGTCACCGCTGCTGCTCTCACGGCTGTTGCTGCTGGTTCTGGTGCTGCTGCAGCGGAGCTGGGTTTTGGGAATAGCTTCCCGCTGCGCTTCTCTCGCGTTGCATGCGGGGCATCGTCGCTGGTGGTGTTTGCTGCTGCACAGCTGCAGCAAGTGCTGCCGCAGCTGCTGCCGCTAGGGGGTGGGGGGCGGCTGCTGCTGCGGGTCAGCGGCCTCCCAAGGATTCAAAAGCAGCAGCAGCAGCCCGAGGAGCAGCACGTTTGCTGCAGCTGTTGCTGCTGCGATAAACGTGGGCAGACAACGCCAGAAGAAAGCAGCAAGAGGCCGGCGAGACAGCCCGCGCTGCTGCTGCTGCGGCTGCTGTCCACCCCGAACAGTCGGCAGCAGCCGCAACAGGAGCAAGAGCAGCGGCAGGAAGAAACTGTGGAGGTGCTGTTGAAGGCTTGGCTAGTTGGCGAAGGGGAAGTTGTTTGCTCCAGTCCTGTGCTACGGGCAGCGAAGGAGACAGCCAGCTTTAGCTGCTGCACCTCCTTGTTTGATGCAGATGCTGCTGCTGAGTCGTCTTCACCTATTAACCATAGATGTTCTTGGGACGAAGCAGCAGCAGCTGCTGCAGCTGATAGTCCTGCTGCTGCTGCTTCTACAGTTGACGGCGCTGCTGCTGCTGCTGCGGACGGTGGCTGTGCGGGAGTGAATGGAGAGGAACCACCGCAGCAGCAAGAGTTGCAGCAGCAGCAGCAGCAGCAGGATTCGCAGCAGCACTGCACAGGGTGGGTCTTCTTCGGTGGCGGCGCTGCTGCTCGGCTGCGACGGGCAGCAACAGCGAGCCAATACATCAAGACTCTTCCCGCTGCTGCCGCTGCTGCTGCTGCCCCAGGAGAGTGCTGCAGCAGCTACCCAGTGCTACCACTAGGCCCTCGAGGTTTAATTGTAAATCCCTGTAGCAGTAAACAGCTGCTGCGGTGGCAGCAGCTGCAGCAACTAACTGCAGCAGAAAAACCAATAGCAGCGACAATCCAGGTTAGGCACTAAAGCTAGCTAGCTAGCTAGCTAGCTAGCCCGCTAGCTAGCTAGGGAGACAGACGGGGACGCAGAGAGGCCGAGAAAGAGACAGCTTTTGTGCTTTTGTTTATTCCCTGTTGCTCTTGCTGGTTACTCGATTTGTTTACGGTTTGGGGTTTAGGCGTTAAATGGTGCTTTACTTATTTATTTATTTATTTATTTGTTTCTTTATTGATCTATTTATACTTCAGGTGTCTGTTGACGCGGACCATTGGTCTGTCTCTTCTGCTGCTGCTGTCTCCTTTTGCTGCTTCCCCGAGGGAGTTGTTTCTGTTGTACCCCCAGCTGTCTCAATTGAAGGCACATAAACCCTAAACCCTAAACCCTCAGTTTTCTCTATAAAGGCTAAACCCTAAGACCTCACTTTGCTCTCCTAAACCCTAAACCCTGCACCCTAGATTTCTGTGTGTATATGTAGGGGGTGTCCCATTGGAGATTTTATTGGATCGGCCGATCCCCGAGGGAGTCAACTGCGAAGGGGCGACAGTTCGCTTCTCCGTCTCTTTGGAGTCCTCCGAGCAGCAGCAGCAGCAGCAGCAACAACAACAACAACACCGACAACAACAACAACAGCAACAACAACAACAGGGGGAAGAAGATGGCAGCTGGGGGTGTATAGGGTTTGTTCCTGCTGCAGTAGGCCCCCAAAGAAATCTGCTGCTGTGCACAGCTCCTCCTTTTACTGAGGCGGTCTTGTCGCGCTGTCTCCTCAGGGTCTCCGCCTCCCTTAATGGAAAGTCCCTAAACCCTAAACCGTAACCCCTAGTCGTGCCATCGAGGGAAAGGATTTTAAAGGCCACCACTACGCTTGGATGCTAGCTGTTGCTGCACAGTCAGCAGCAGCTAGCTGTCTCTTCCAGCTAGCTAGTTCGCCGTGTCCGCCAGCTAGCCAGCTTCATGTAACTGGTTTAGGGTTTAGGGTTTGCTACGTGTGTACAGGGGAGTGTTTTACTGGTTCTAGTAGTTTAATGAGTTTATTATCTCCTTCATCATTTACGGTGTCTCCTCCTGTTGGCCCCTCGGGGTGTCTCCTTTCTCTCTCCATAACAACACCGCAGCTTCAGTCCTTAAGTCCTACCGTGCTGCAACGCTTGGAAGACCACATGAACAACAGCAGCAATAGCAAAAGCGGCAGCAGCAAAAGCAGCAGCGGTTGCTGCTGTCTTGTTGTTCATCCTGATGGCAATCAGCAGCGAATTGATGCTGCGATAAGAAAAGGAAAGGTGGAGATAAGCATCCCTCCTATATTTCTTGAGGTGTGTTCCTTCTGCTGCTGCTGTTGCTGCCCATGCTACTGTGGATAATGCGATTGCTACTGTGCTTGTTAACTTTGCTTCTACGGTGATTGTGCTGCTGCTGCTGCTGCTGACAAATAGTACTATTTGCCCGTGTCTTCGCCTGCAGCCAGAGGAGACAACAGGAGAAGACCAGCAGCAGCAACCACAGCAGCAACAACAGCAGCATCAACAGCAGCAACAACAGCAGCAGCAACAGCAGCAGCAACAACAACAACAACAACAGCAGCAACAACAGCAGCAGCAGCAGCATGAGCAGCAACCCGCCGAAGAACAGAACACATTTAAGTGCAGCAGCAACGGGGTGTATACGCTGCAACTATTTCTTTCCTTTAATGGCATCGAGTTTAGCAGCAAACCAACAATCTTTGAGGTGTATAGGCAGCTTCAAGCAGACCAACTGCTGCTGTTTACAATACCCAATCCACCTGCTGCTCCTGCTGCTCCTGCTGCTGCTACAGAGCCCGAACCCTCAGAAATCGCTGCTGAACCTAGTGAAGAGGCAGCAGAAGGATCAATGTTAGCAGAAGCATCTGCAGCTGCATCAGCAGCAGCAGCTGCTGCTGCTGCTATTGCCGGTGCAGATGTGCAGCAAGTTGATGACGAGGCAGTGTTGAGTAGCGGGACTTTTGCTGCCGTGCTGCTGGAGTGTGGGGTGACTGTACACTTTCCTTGCTTCCGGCTAACTGTATTACCAGAGGCTCCTCCTGCTGGTCCAGCTGCTCCTGCTGCTGCTGCTCCCCACCACCGCGCCAGCAGCCACACCGCCGCCCCCCGTGAGAGTAGTGCGGCTCCCTCGAGCCATTCAGCTGCTGCAACGTCCGGTGCAGCAGCAGCAGCAACAGCAGGAACGTCATCGACGGCGGCAGCAGCTGCAACAGCAGCAGCAACTGCTGCTGCTGCTACTGCTGCAGCGGCAGGTGGCATGGATGCTTCTGCAAAGGGAGAAGGGGAGGAACCCGCCCCGCTGCAACTGCTGCTCCCTGCTGCCTGCAGCAGCAAAGTGCAGCAGCAGTTAGCAGCCCTCTTTGAATCCAACAGCCTCCGCTGCAACAACAAACGGGGTGCCTCACGAGACCGAACAGGAAGAAACAACACGAAGAAGACAGCTGCTGCTGCACCAGGGGGAGGGGCCCCCAAGGGTGCTGCTGCTGCTCCTTCTGGTGCTGCAGCAGGCAACAAAGCAGCGACTAGCGACAAGCAGCAAAAGCAGCAGCAACAGCAAAAATCAGGGAAGGGGCAGCAGCAGCAACAGCAGCAGCAGCAACAGCAGCAGCAGCAGGAGCAGCAGCAGAAACCAGAAACTCCGGAGGAGAATCTCCAGAAAGTCATCGTGGTACGAAGTGCCGCCCTGCTAGGGTTTAGGGTTTAGAGTTTAGGGGCATAGCCAATGCTTCTTATCTCGCTGCGCGCTTGCATTTTCTTCTGCGCTGCAATCATAGAGTTGGCATCTTTAGGTTGAACTGTCATTGCTGTTTTATTGCTGCTGCTGCTGTTGTTGTTGTTGTTGTTGTTGCTGCTGTTGTTGTTGTTGTTGTTGTTGTTGTTGTTGTTGTTGTTGTTGTTGTTGTTGTTGTTGTTGTTGTGGCTGCTGCTGCAGTGCGAGCTGCCAGTGTTAAAGGGCAGCAGCGAGGGTCATAGCCTCTGCACTTTAGAGTTGTCAATCGACGGCCTTCATTTTGTCCCCGTGGCAAGTGGAAGGACTCTGAAACTTAAGAGTAAGTGCAGCAGCAGCAACAACAACAAGCAGCAGTAGCAACAGCAGCAACAGCAACAGCAGCACGAGCAGCAGCAGTAGCATAAGCAGCAGCAACAGCAACACAAGCAGCAGCAACGACGGCCACATCTGTTGCTACTCAATCTCTATTTGTATAGCGTTGCTGCTTCTAGCGAGTTGCTGCCCAAACACGTGCCGCGGCAGCAGCAGTAGAAACTTGCGAATTCTGCTCTTGTCGCTGCTGTTGCCTAGGATGCTCAGGAGCAACTCGCCAGTGCAGTTTCTCTTTCCTATTGGTTTGCCGCTGCTGCTGGTGCTGCTGCTGCTGCAGGAGAGCTAGTTGCTGCGGAGGCAACAGCAGAAAAGAAGTGAAGAAGGCAACGCAGCATATGCGCATTCGATTTATCGGCCAAGGTCCCTAAACCCCTGAGCTCTGCAGTATCAGGTAGCCAAGTCGCATCTACCCCTTGTGCCTCTAACGAGCCACCTTCCTCGCTGGCAAACAGGCAATCTGCTGGCCAGGTAGCCAGCTACCGAAGGTACCTAGCTAGCAAACCGGCTGGTTACCTGCCTGTCTAGCTAGCTAGACACTCACCTCCCTAAGTACCTAGCTACTATCTAGTTAGCTACGTAGCTAGCTACCTAGATAGCTAGCGGTTTGCCGGTGGGAATCAGCCGAACACTTGGTAAAGACTTGGTAACAAGGGTTTAGGGTTTAGGGTTTGCCGCCAAGACAGCTACGGGCCTGCTAAAAACAAATAGTGCCACAGCATGAGCAGAGCTTGTGGGTAGCTCTTCCCAGTTAGCTAGCTAGCCACTGCTAAATATTCACGGCTAGCTAGCCACGGCTAGGTAGCCACGACTAGGTAGCCCGTTGTAATGAGCTAGCCTTCCGCAGGTAGCCGGATAGCTGAGGCATTGCCAACAACAGAGCACACTGGCACGTGCTCCTCCAGGGAACAGCTAGGTGGCTAGCTAGCTATCTAGCTAGCCTCATTGCTTGATCGTTTGCTAGTTATGGGCAAATTACGCTCGCCGTTTGGCCAACTAGCTAGTTAGCCAAGCTGACCCACCGGATAACCAGCTTGCCAGCAAGCAACTTAGCCAGTTACCTATGCGGCTACCCACCCAGCCACCTACCTACATAGCTAGCCACCTAGCTAGCTAGATGGCTAGCTAACCAGCTCGTTGTGGGGTTAGACAGCATATCTGCCTCCGCCTAAGATGCGGGGTGGTTCTTCAGAAAGGGCCATTCTTCGCCTTTCGATAGCAGCAAATGACTGCTCCATTTCCTGCAGCGGCTCATGCAGTTTTTCTGCTGCCTTTCTTATTTTTTCCTCTGATAATTCATAATTTTTGTTTATTCGGATGCCACGGGGAGGAGGCATGTGCTGCACAGGCTCACGACGGTTGCTGCTGCTGCTGCTGCTGTTGCTGTTGCCAGGCGCACACAGCAACTCGAAACCAACCTCCTGTGTACACAAACGACCAGCATCAGCAGCATCAACAGATGCCTAGCAACAGCATTATTACCAGCAGCATTAATAGCAGCAGCACCATTAGTACCAGCGGCAAGAGTATTAGCAGCAACAGCAGCACCAACAGCAGCAGCTTTAGCAGCAGCAGCAGCAGCCGGCAGCAGCTTTTGCAGAAGCAGGAGGGACTTACGTCTTGTATATTTCTACACGCAGTTATTTGGTCAATCATCCTTCCGTATGCTTTAAGACGATTAAAAGGAACAAAAGAATCTTTTGGGTGTTTCTCCCTCCTTAAACAAATGCAAACACAAGCAGAAAATATAAATAATGCTGCTGCTGCTGCACCTGCTGCTGCAGCGACGCAAGAGCCATTAATTGCAGCAAAGTGTTTCACAATATTCTCATGTTGCTGCAGCAGAGGCACAACGAAATCATCTGCTCCAACAGCAGTACCAACGGCAGCAGCAACAGCAGCAGCAGTAACAGCAGCGTGCCTTGCTTTGCGTAGTCCCCCGAAGATGGAGGGAAGGTCTCCAGTGGCAGCCTCAAAAAGGCGCACAGCTTCCGTTTCCAATATCCCTAAACAGAGCAGCAGCAGCAACAGCTGGTGCACAGCAAGGTGCTGCTATATAATTAGCTAGCTAGCTAGCTAGCAACCTTGCTAGCTGGATGGCAAAGCAGCAGCAGCAAAGCCAGTGCCAATAAAAGTCATGAGCAGCTAAGCAACAACCTCGCTGTCTGTACCTTGGAGCTTAGGGTCGATATTGGCGTGTGTGTGTTGCAGTGTCTCCTTTGGTGTCCTTTCTTGTTGAGTTACAACTAATTTCTCTGTTGTCTGCTGTTGTCTCCTTTTTATTTGCTGCTGCTGCTGCTGCTGCTGCTCCACGGGGGGGTCCCCTGGGCGTGAGGGGGGCCACCCAGCTACAGGAACAGCAGCAGCAGCAGACTGCTCCCAATGGTGTCTGCTGCTCTTTAAAGTCTTTCTATTTCTCTTAAAATATTTTTGTTTTTCTTTCATAAGCATTTGCTGCGAATAATCAGAACGGAGAATTACCTGACGGCAGCAGCAAACAAAACAGCAAAACAAAGACAATCAAAAGAAACAAAAAACGGAGACAAAGAGGGACAATAAAGAGGGGCAATAATGAGAGACAATGAACAGAAGCAATAAAGAGAGGCAGTAAAGAGAAACAGTGCAGCGAACAAGGGCAAGAAGAATGCATGCAATTACAAACAATACATCCTAGTGTTTGTCTCCTTTGTCTCCTTAATATTCCCCTTCTTACTTTCCCCTCCTTCATTAACTGCCTTAGCAATCCGGATCTCCTCCATCTTTCTCTCTCGTGCCCTCCCCACACCTGTCTCCTTTCTCCTGCCTCTTCATCAGTAAACCCTCTCCCCACATGCTCGCCCATCTCCCTTTCCAACCCTTCATATACAAAAGGGCCCCCCCGCGGGCTCCCCAGGGGGTCCTCCGAGGGGCCCCCCGAGGGGCCCCACTCCCAGTAGTCCCTTGATGGCCCCTCCAGTGGTGCCCCTATGGGGGCACCGAAGGAACGTGCCCTCCTCGAGGCCCGAAAAGCCCCTGGGGGGGTCCCCGAGAAGGGTTGTGTCGTACGGATTGTGTATAAGGGTTTAAGACCTTTACATTTAGTGGAGGGCCCAAATTCTCCTATACCTTCTATGCGATAAGGGGGGAGGGGACGAGGTGGGGACCGTTGCGGTCTTGCTCTCCTTGCTGGTGTTGCTGTTGCTGCTGTTGCTGCTTCTGCTGCTGAGCTGCATGCAGATGCCCCAAGCGTGCCCACAGGCCAAGCAGACAACGGCTGCTGCTGCTGTAACAAAACGGAGAGACGCGCAAACGGGCAGAGACACAGACCTTCCACGGTAGAGGCGGAAAGCGAACATCGGTCAACAACAACGGCAGCAATAGCAGCAGCAGCAACAGCAGCAATAGCAGCAGCAGCAGCAATAGCAACAACAACAGCAGCAGCAGCAATAGCAACAGCAGCAGCAGCAGCAGCAATAGCAACAACAGCAGCAGCAGCAGTCGCAGCATCAGCAACATTTGCACGAACAGCAGCAGCATCAACAGCAGCACTTTACTTTTTGAAAGGGTCCCGACTGGTTTTTTTCTCTCTTTCCAAAGTGAGGGCTTTCCATTTTCTTAAGTTTTTCCTTATCATTTAATAGATTGCCTTTTCCCTCCTTTTTCTGCTTCCTTAATGCTATCGATATATCTAAAGGATACAATACACCAGAGGGGGCCCCTACAACAGGGGCCCCTGCAGGAGGGGTCCCCATATCATGGGCCCCTATATCAGGTGGCCCTACATCAAGCGCCTCTATATCAGGGAACCCCGAGCCGAACAGACGGATGTTACGCTGCACCTTTTGCTGCTGCTGCCGCCTTGCCGCTCGGGAACTAATGGGTAACCCTTGAGGGCCCCGCAGGGGCCCCCATAAGGGGACTCCCAGGGGACCCCAAGGAGAGCTGCCGCTGGTGTCTCCTAGAGGGAGATGCATTGAGTTGAATGTAAAGAGTAGAGACGGTAGAAGGGTAGCGGAGACACTAGAAGGAGTAGAGGAGACTAGAAGGAATAGAGCGGAGACAACAAAAAGAGGAGAAAGGCCTAAAGCGGAGAAAGACCAGTGCTGTTTTAGGGCTTGGATGTAAAGAAGACTTTATATATTAAGACATATTAGCAAAAAGGTGCAAAAGAAAAGGTGGAGGGGGGGAAGAGAAAAAACAAGTTTAGGAAAGTCTCCTTCTTGCTGCGAAGAAAATATCCTCTATTAAGGAGGGGAAGAGGAAATACGGGAAATCAGACAACCTAAACCCACATTTTAGATGCATAAGGAGGCAATATAAGAAAAGAAAGAACTCGAAGAAAGGCAAAACGGGGGCTCCAGGTATCCTCGAGGTACCCCCCTCACCACCAGTAAAAGGAGGAAGGAGAAGGATGCAGGGGGGGGAGGAACGACGCTTCAGTAGCAACAAAACTAAACCGTAAAGACTAAACCATAAAGTGTTTAGGCGAGGAGCAGTGGTGATCGCAGCGATCCTCAAACCCTAAACCCTAAACCCTAGACACTGCAAATCCTAAAAACCGCCCAACAGGCCCCAGGACCTCGACGGAACCTTGAAATAAACATATGTTACATTAAAATGTGTATTTGTATTTGTTTTTGCATGTTGATTTGTATTTGTTGAACAGAAGATAAAAGGAATGAAGGCAACGTGCCGCGGACCGGCTGCTGCTGCTGAATCCCAGCACTCCCTCCTGTATAATACAGCACAATAAATGGTTTATAGGTTATATTTTGATTCTATTTACTCTATTTAATTTTTTATTTCCCTTTTTCTTCAAATTTTGCATTAAACTGGGCGATAAACGACCAGCGGTCAAGCAGTGAACCTCTGCTGTGGTCCTGTATGCAGTCTCAGTACCGTCAACGACCCCGATGCAGTCTCGAGGTTCTCTGTACTTATGCAGATTAAATATTTTAATTGAATAAATTACTTTAATTTCATTGAATTTAAAACAAAACTAGAATATTTACCCCTTATTTCAGCAATTTTAGTCATTACCCCGCAGATTCAGGGCCCAGAGGAACCTGTGTTCAGCTTATACATCTGGTGTAATCGTTTAGTGTAATTAACTTTCCAATTGATTTAATCTTCTCGCTTTGTTTTTATTTACATATTCTTACTAACTGGCCTTTTGTCATTATATCCCTATACCTACACTTGCTGCACACAGGGGGCAGCCTCTGCGTATAACAGCCGTCTTCCATTGAACCTCCATGCTGGTCCTACGGTTTAGGCTTTACTGTCTGCGGTGGATACAAAAGACCTTAGCATAGGTTTGGTCCGCATGCAGCGGTCCCTCGTGCGGTGTACAGGCAGGCAAGCACCTGAGTGTAGTGTATGTACACCGCAGCAGCAGCATACGTGCCCTGCAGTAGCTGTCTATACAGCAGAGAAAGGAGGAATTCTGCTGCATTAAATGCCGCACATCCTCTTCCGTGGTTTTGTTTGTTTTAAAAAAAGAAAGAGAGGCAAATCCCCTTACCTCCTGTAACAGCGCAAACCCTAATGCGCTGTCTTTGCGAAACTCTAAACCCTAAACTTTACTGGCCTTCCGCGGGGATCCAAAGAAGTAGGTTTAGGGTTAAGTGTTTAGGTTTTATTCAGCTTGCGTCTGCTAGGAATGCGGCTTCACCTCGAGCAAATCAAAACCCTCAATATTTATTTTTGCCTTTAAGAGCCGCTCTGCCTCCTGCAGGACCTTCTCTGTTGATCGTTTGCTGTCATCCAAAGCCCACGGCTGCATGCATGCGCCCAAACCCTAAACCGTAAACCCTTGAGCAACAGGCCTGCAGTGCTCCCCTGAATTTGTGTAGATCGCTAAGGCAGACTCCACTGTCCAGGAATAGGGTTTAGGGTTTAGTGCTTGGTGTTTGGGACTAGCGGTGAGGGGCTTTTGTAGAAATACTCCGGTTTAGGGTTTACAGCTAGGGATAGGGTTTAACGCTAGGGTTTGGGCTACGGTTTAGGTTTTTAGGGCTAGAACCCTCACCTGTTTTAAGAGGACTGTCTCCTGATACCATTTACCCATTTTGCCCTCCACGATTTTCTGCTTTAAAGCCTCTGGCATGTCCTTGTTCTTGCTGCTGTTGCTGCTGCTGTTCATGCTGCTGAGGACATACTGGCGCTCTTGCGCTACCATATCAGGGGGAAGATCCTCAACTCTCTGGAGTCCACAGACAGCCAAAACCGTAACCGTTAAGCCCTAAAACAGGGTGTGGCTGATTAGCGAGTCTCCACCTCTAAGACCTAAACCTAAAGTGAAGGGCTAAGCATAAGGGCTTAGGGCTAAGGCTTCGAGTTAGGGTTTGGCCCTGGCTGGTGTTTAGATATAGGTTTAGTAGGGCTACCCTAAACCCTAAATCCTAAACCCTTAGAGCAAAAGATGAGGTTGTAGTTGTCTAAAACAAGGGCTTGTGATCAAGGTTTATAGCTAAGGTCTAAGGCTAGTGTTTAGGGTTACCCTTTAAGGCATGTGCTTAAGGATAGGGCCTTCAATTCGTGTTTAGAGTTAGTGTTTAGGGCTAGGGTTTGGGGTTTAGGATTTTCAGCTCACTACTGCGAGTGGCCTAGATGCTGCAATGTGAAGACAAATCTGCCTCCCCAAGTTCCTTATCTGCTTCTCGAACTCTTGTTGCTGCTGCTCTTGCTGCTGCTCTTGCTGCTGCTGCAGCTTGTAGGAAAGGTGCAGCAGGACAACAAGAGCAGCAGCATCAGCAGCAGCAGGTTGGTGGCTGTAGGAGGAGACGATCCCCGATCCCCTTAATGCCTCTCTTACAGCAAACCCTTTTAGCTGTACTTTCTCCCCCACTAATCGTGATGTATAGGCCAAGTCTGTCCCTACTGTTTCTGTTGCTGCTGCTTTTACTGCTTCTGCGTCTGTTGTGGCTGCGTCCGCCGCTGCTGCTGGTGTGCCTGCTGCCGATTCTGATGTGAGGACAGGCAGCGCCAAGAGCTGCTGCAGCAGCTGCGCTTGCTCTTGAGGTAACCTCCCTCTTGCTGCTGCTGCTGAAGCAGCAGCAGCAAACTCGGGAGAGCTGCATGCAGCAGCAGCAGCCCGTCTTGCTGCTGCACAGAAGACGTCACTGTGGCTGACAAAGTCGCTGCTGCAGGTAACATGCACAGCAGCAACCCTCTCCACACCAGCTACTGCTGTTGCTGCTACTGCACCCGTTGCTGCTGCTGCTGGGGCTGCTTCTAAACGGAATGTCCCAATGATTCCTTCTTTGACGTTATCATTGCTGTTCGTGCCAGTAGCATCAGCAGCAGCTGCTGCTGCCGCCGCTACGTCTGCTGCCCCCTGCTGCCGCAGCCACTGTACTGCCTTAGGTACATCCCCACCACTGTGCTGCAGTGCCCGTATGCAAGCCCCATATCCTGCTGAAGTTAGCTGCCTCAGCTTCTTTATTAGAGCTGTATCCAGCTGTGCTGCTGGTGCAGGTGCTGCTGGTCCTACTGCTGCTAATGTTCCTTCAGCTGCTGCTGCTTTCCCTGCATTCGCTGCTGCTCCTGCTGCTCCCCCATCTGCTGATGCTGCTAGATGGCGCACTTGGGCGGAATATGGGTGGCTCCTGTTTGCTGTTGTCCTGTTGCTGCGTGAGCTGCCCTGTCCGCTGCTGCTGCTCAGGAACGAGCAGGGTTTGTTACGGTGTACGTACAGCTGGAACGCGTCTAAGAAGACAACGGGAAGAAACAGCAGGAGGAAACTAATTTTTAGCAGCACTCTCATTATTTACATTAGTTAAACCCTTGTTATATGCCTCGTCTTGCGCCCGAGAGGCCCCAAGGGTTTTAGGGTTTCGGGTTTAGAAGGACATCCAGCAGGAGTCTGGGGCTTAGGGTTTATGGTTTAGAGGATTTTGCGTTTAGAATAATGCAGCTACAGGATCAGTGCTACCTCAGAAAGAGAAGAGTCATTAGGTTGTTGGCCAGTCCTCTAGCACCCAGTCGAGTGCTAGGGTTTAGGGTTTAGGGTTTAGTGTTTCCATTTCAGCGGGGTGGAATTTTTTCTCTACAAATATGCACATTGTTAAATATTCATAAAAATCATAAACAGAATTTCTTTGTCCCTTTTTGTGGCTGTCCCCTTCAAGGGTACGCGGGGGGGCCCCCTATAGGGCCTCCTGTCCTCCACTGGGGCCCCACTGGCGTTTGGCCAGTCATTCTTATTCGTTTCATACTTTTAGATCTATGGTTTAGGGTTTGCATTTAATGTTAAATATATATCTATTATTTATTACTTCAATAGAATATAGCAGTTATGAACCCTCTACCTGCTTAGACTGTCTTCAAGGCAGCTAAGAGAAACACTAGGAGAAGAAAGGCGCATGCGAGAAACAAAATATATTTCTTGCTCTTTTTTTGCATGCATACACCTGCTTAATGCTCTATTTCAGCCTCTATTTCTCTCCTATATACTGTATCCATGGGCGGTTAGTGTATGTATGTATGGGCACCCCCCTATAGATATGAGTATAGATATTATATATAGTACATTATATATGTAATACACATAGGCAGACACCTGCAAACAAACATGTGTTTGTATTTATATAATAATGCATGCACGTCTGTGTTTGCCACCACTGCCTAAATTCTAAAGCTCTTTCATTTTCTGGTATATGGGCACCTGAAGGTGGTCAGAAGTGTCTTTTTCCCACTTCTTGTCGAGTGCGTGCAGTAAGGGGTCGCTTTACTTTTTGTATTTCTTTCTCCCAGCGCAAAACTTTTTGCTGCATTCAAGACATGTAGCTCCTCCTCTCTTAACAGGGAATGCACAAATATGCATTAGACGGCTTCAGGTACTAGAAAGTTTAATAAAAGAAAATAGACGGGGTTTTTATAAACCGGTCGAGTACTTGTTGCTGCTGCTTACGCTGTGCGCTGTTGCCAAGGCACCAAACGACACCATCTGCAGCAAGTGCAGCAGCAGTAGCAGCAGTAGCAGCAGCACCAGCAGCAGCTACGGCATTCCTTTGAGTCAGTTGGGCCTCCTTGGTGGCATGCGGTGGCTGCAGGCGCAGAAGCAGAACGGACAGAAAGATGAAGACAAGGCAGGAAAAGCCTTTTAATTCGGAATTTTGTTTCGCCAGTGTTCAAACGGATTACAGCTGCAGGAGATCGCGTTAGGGTTTGCCGTCCTGTAGAGGGCAGTATCTCCATGGGAATGCCAAATGCAAAGGTTTAGGGCTCAGGGTTTTAAAGAGCGCTAAAGGGTTTAGAATGTTTAGGCTGAACTCCAGCAACAGAAAGTATGCATGCAAAATATGCAAAATATGAAACGGGTCACCTTATATTCTACTCCAAAAGGCTAGAGGGTTCGGGGATTTAATGTTTGATGGGTAGGCGTTAAGGCCATTGAAGTTTAGGGATTCGTGTCTGGGATTTGTGGAGTGTCTAATGCTTTAGTGACGTCTCAAGGTTGAACAGCCACTTCCAACCTAACACTGTGTGCTGCTAGGGCTTAGGGCTTAGGTTTTAGGGTCGGGCGTAGCGAGTGAACACTTCGAGGGTTTACTTCGCAACAAATTCCAATATGCGTCTGTTGACTGCCTCTACTGAGACTGCGTCGTCAGAGCTGCAGCAGCCACATCCCAAGCCGAACTCCTCCAGCTAGCTCGGCAGCCAACTAGCCAGCCATCATATAGCCACCTTGCCCAATGTGATTTGCATGCGCTGATGCGTGCGCACTCCTCACCAGACGGTTGTTAGCTTCCCTGCAAAGGCCTCTCGGATTTCCGGCAGCCATCGCTCCAGTTGTGCTGTGCTGCAGAAATCATATAGCAGCTGCTGCATACAATGTAACTGCTATTGCTCCTGCTGTGGCGGCTGTTTCTGCAGCCCATGTTGGTGCCCCTGCTGCTCTGCTGCTTGTCCGCTCCCACGGGGTGTGACCCTAATGGGGGAAACTGCTGAGGTTGCTATTTCTGCTGATGCTTCTGTAGATGCAACAGCAGCTGCTGTTGCAGCTGCTGCTTCAATGGGGTTGCTCACCGCAGCTCCACTAGCCTAGCTGCGTCTTTGTGCTGTTGGCTCTTCTCCGCCTGCTCATCGGGAGCTGCTCCAGGGGATTTCTACAAACATCAGCAAATGCCCGCTGCTTTCATGTTTCTTCTTGCCAGTGCGCAACCGCAGCGCCTGCTGCTGCTGATGTGGCGCTGCGGCTGAGTAGCAACAGCAGCAGCAGCGAAGAGCAAGTGTAACAGCAGAACGAAAGCAGAATCTCACGCTGCCTCTGTCTGCTTTGCGTTTCTTGACTCTTTCAACCAAAGTGCCCTGCAAACAAATGCCAGACAGCGGCTATCCGCAGCATTAAAGCAGCAGCAGAAGTAGAAAGAGTGGCAAGGAAACGAAGAAAACGCAAACCAATGCAGCTCGATCAGTAACCGTGTCTACATCCAGGCACAACATTGTAAACAGAAATGGAGTTGCAAGCAGCTTCCCAGCACAAACCGTTGGGGACCTCAGTGTATGCGTCAACGGTAGGTAGCAGCAGCAGTCATGCGTCTGCTTCGTGACTAGCAAGAGTTAGCCATGAGGTTCGAGCTCTACCGGGTGCTGCAGTGTTGTGACAGGGCTAGCTCCAGCTAAGCAGTAAGCAGTTGAACCCATGGCGCATGCATAGGTGAGATGGCTAGATCTACGAAGGCTGACCTCAGGGGCCTCCAGCAACAGAATACAGTCGGGAGTAATTTTATGCTGCCGCAGCAGCAGCGCCTGGCGTGCCGTTTGCGGAACCCCGTCTAAGACCCAACCGCGGCGTGCGCAGTCTGCTGAGGCGAGGCGCTGCGCCACCAGCTCTATGAGCAACTCCTCGAATGCTGCACGTGCAACAGAAACCAATACACGAAAAGCGGAAGGCTGAAACGTGAACGGTGTGAGCTGGAGCCTCAAGCCTAACACGGGGTGCATGATGCATGAAACATGGAATTAAGTTACTGAAACCTGCAACAGAAAACCTGCAAAATGAGGCTAGACACTTGAAATGTGAATACTGAACACTGAAACGTTTAACATTAACCCTTAAGCCTCAAAGTTGAAACCTTAAAACCGAAGCTTTAAGCATGGTGCCCTTTACGTGAAATTTCAAAACTGACGCCTTAAACCCTAGGCCTTACACCCTAAGCCTTAAACCAAAACCCGGAAACCCTAAACCTTAATGCTAACACCCGAAAACCTAAACTGGGACTTACAGCTCTCAACTCCTGCCTCGAGCTCCAGGAGCGCCGCCTTACAGTCAGCGTCTTCGTGTGCCTGAGCAGCAGCAGCTTTTGTTGCTGGAAAAAGAATAAAGCGAATGTCACTCCCAACCGTATCCGCTCATCAAAGCAGTTTGCATGTGTTGTACAGATGTTTATACTAGAGCACAGGAAAGGCAGATAAATGTAAATACGCACGTATGTGGATATGTGCACATCAAAAAGTATGCAGATGATAGGTTTACGCATCCTGTAATCCCTCGTTATGCGTTCACCCGGCGTTGAGTCGCGGTAAGTCCGGGAGGCGCTGCAGGCAATTGCATGCATGCATGCAAGCAGACAGCCCGGCCTCGAGGTGTAAAGAAAAATCAGTAATGAACCTCACTTTCTGCAGCAGAAGTTCGCGGATGTCAACATGTACGACCCCGAAGTGGCGGTTGAGCAGACCACTCTGCGTGGACTTGCCGCTAGCAGATGACCCGATGATCTGTACAACAGGCCGCCCGCATGCACAGAGAAGCCCCAAGCCCCAAGTGCCCGCACACGAAACGCATGCAGAGCCTCAGCTTTAGCATGGGTCTCCACTGACACCAGAGCAGCTTCGTCCCCCTGTGCGGTCTGTGGCAGCGTCTCAATGCTAAACCCCCAACCGAGCTTCTCTCTTTAAACCCGTAGCAGCACAGCATGGGCTACGATCATGTAAAGACTCAAGCAGACAGGAGAAACTTACGCAAAGTTTGGGAGGTCGCAGACGCAGCTTCGAACCTCCGTCGAGGCCGCACCTCGCCTGTGCAGACAGCACAAGGGGCTCGCATCTACATGGATCCGTCGGTTTCTGCTGCTGCTGCCGTTTCTGCTACTGGTGTTGCTATTAGCGCCGCTGCAGCTGCTCCTGATTCTGTGTTTTTATGGGATTTTACTCCTTGTGGGGGAGCAGAACTCAGTACTCCAGGTTGGCAAATACCCATCTCCCAGGGTGACTCTAGTCCCCCGTTGCAAACCCTAAACCGCACCTCTAAAGTCTCGATAAGGCGCTCTGCGCCTTCTTCAGCTGGGACCGTCTCTGCAAGGGGCCCCAAAACTTCGAGTACCCCCTCGGTGTGCCTGACGATTTCACAGGAGTAGGATATTTCAGATGATGCGACGGTGCAACATTAGAGGTTTAGAGTTTAGGGTTTGGGTTTTGCGGATGTCAGGGGCTTCAGGGCTGTTGGCGTTGCCTCCTTGCCTGTACAGCTGACGAAGGAAGGCATCTGCCTCTTTTGTAACCAACAGACGACTGCGCCTCTCGGAGGCTTGAGTTGTGCTTGTGCGAAAGAAGGGCCCGGAGCGGCCTGCTGTTGGGCGTGCTTCCGCTGCTGCGGCTGCTGCGGCTGCTGCTGTTGCTGCTGCTGCGGCTGCTGCACGCACCGCCGACCGCGCGTGGACTTCCCCTGGTAGCAGCAAACAGCAGCGGTCGGGCGACAGGCGCATATCGAGCAGAGCCACGGCCTGCGCTCGCGTACGCGGAAATCCATCGAGGATCCAGCCCCCGCACTGCTGCTGTTGCAGCTGCTGCAGCTGGGTAGACACCAACTCCACCACGAGCTCGTCTCTTGCTGCCCATACACACGCAGCAGTTGCAAGCAAGAAAATTGTTTTCTCTCCTCCACATCCTCGCTTTTCCTGCCTTTATGTACACCCCGCGCGAAATAACTGCCTCCATTCGCCAAAGCTGTCTTGTCGTGTAGCTCAGGAAGGTCGTCTGCTCCTTTTCCCAGGTCCCATACACGCAGCCTTCAGAGCCTAACGGTGTTTGGTATTTTAGTTCATGTAACTCCAGTTCTAGAGCTATTAGTTTGACTTTCCTCTCCCTCCCCAGGGCTGATCCCTACCCAAGGTCCTGGAGTTGAGGGCCCGTGCAGCTTCGCCACGGGGGTACTTATCTGCATGAGCGCGCAAAAGGGCCCCAGAGGACACCAAGGGGAGGCCCCACCGCTCAGCCAGGCTGGCAGACACCTCGTGCCTCTCGCTTCCAGGCAAACCCAGCATGACCAGGCGCAGCGGGGGTCCCAGCTGCTGCTGCTGCGTTTGAGACGCGTGCTGCTGCTCTTTGTCTTCATCTTCCACCCGATGAGTGTCTTTCTGTAGTTCTTGGGCCTCGAGGAATTGCTGCTGCTTTAAGTGGTCTATGAGGAACTGCAACGGGTCGTCTGGTTGGTGCTGCAGCAGCAACTTCAGGAAAGACTGCATCATGTCCCTGAGGCCCTGGGCCTCCGCGTACTCCTCACATTCTTTTGCAAACGGCTTTTCGGCATCCATTGCTAACGGCGCCTTCTTCTCCCCTCCTTAAACTTTGCTGCTGCGTGCTTCTGCACGGCGGATGTGGTGGTTGCTGCTAACGCTGAAACCCTTGCTGCCGGCTTTGTAGTTGTTGTTTCTGCTGCTGCTGTAGAGTCTCATGCTCTGGCGGGTTAACTCTTTGCCCTCAGATGCATTGCTTAGTCGCCCGCTGCACAGGCCAACATCAAGCCCTGGGAAACGACGAATGCACGGGAACAGATCAGCCCTTGTTCTGTCCGCAAAAGTTGTCTAAACCCAACAAATTCAATATGCATCTCGATGCTGAAACGGGGTCTCTTCTTGTGGGGGCCCTGCTCCAATGGGGCCGCTGTCGGGGCCCCGATGGAAGGGCCGAGGGAGAGGGGGCCATATGCTCGTGCCTTACAGGTTTGGGGCTGGAGGCGACAGCCTTTAGAATAACAAGTATATTAAAAGTCGAAATGTTGAAAAGGTCTTAGGTCTGTATTAAAACACGCAAGTGGGCGGTCTCAGGACGCTTTCTCACCTCACCAGCGGAGGGTCACCTGAAGGAGACCGTCCCTACGTGGTGTACAATCATCCTGGCATGTTACCAGGATTCCTTCACATTGACAACTATATTCTTTGGACTAGACTTTCATAAATTTCAACACAACATCTTTAAACGTAGAAAGGTGAAATAAAGCGCTGGAACCCTGAGGTGGATGCGTTGTGCCCGGAGCCCGAACCTGATCGTTTATCCTTTGCAAAACGTGCATACGCTCCTACTGGGAAGAAGTGTGTTGGATGCTGAAATAGGAGGTTATTGCTTCCTAAAACGCATTCAAAAGTTCTTTAACTGCTTGAAAATGATTATGTAGCTCAAGGCTTGCTAACGCAGCAGCATCAACACCGCGTGGTCTGCGTCTCAACGACTCGCAAAAAAAGCCACATGCAACAGAAAAAATAGCAACAGCTGTTGTTCCCGACTTCATGATGCAAATAAAAGTCTCTAGAATTTGACGCATTCAGCTCAAATGAATTTTACAAAAGTGTTCGAGGAGGCATGGTTTACTTGGTTCCTCCTGTAGATTCACATTTCTTAACCCTGCCTATGCTGCTCATTGAACTGAACTCAGAAGGATCCAACATGGCCTGTCGAAGGCAAGAGGAGGACGAAGGGTTCGAGAGCCTCTCGCTCCGGACAGGCAACTTGCAGGAGCTACTTCTGCTGCAGCAACTCGGCCTCGAGCTGCCTTCAGATGACGCACGACTGCTGGTTGGCAAGCCTTAACATGAACACCCCAAGTCACGAAGACAAGTTTATGCTCGTCTGCCTGAAGCTGCTGGGAGTCAAACTGGAATGTTCAATGAACAATCTGCAGCAGAAATCTAACGTTTTACTATATATATATATATATA